TAGTAATAAGTCATGTTCATGTGTATATTCTAGATTCCTTTGGGAGCGACCTGAAAGGGTCTGACGAGATTCTGGTTGGGGACCCCTCCCTGATCTGTTTCTATTGTATTCTATGAAGGATAAGTATGTGAGTAAGTAAGTGAGTATTCCAGGGGAATCCTTTTGAAGGATTGCCTACAAATTATTCTCCCAGGTGAAATGGCATTCATAACAATTAAATTCAATGTATTCTTGTATATCCCTAAATCAAAACAATCAAGCAGTTCAAACATAAAAAAACACAGAGTCATTGGTCCATAAGGGACAGATGATGAAATATGTTGATTGTCCTTAGACCCTGTGTCGGCATTAACAACTACCAAAACATTTTTTCATAAAAGTGAGAAACCTCTGGGAGGCCCACATTTAGAGAGGGATCCGCTCCCATGGACAGAAGGGCTGTAGATCCAGGACTCAGGCTGAAGAACAAGGGCTGAGGTAGAAGTATTGAGGAATTTTGTTTATATTTATTGACTAAATTTGGTCCAAGCTGGAGTTACAGATCTATTTTTGCACAACCTGAGTGATACTATGCCAAATGGGACATGTAAATCTCTCCACTTTGAGATCAATAAAGTTTATCTTATCTTCTCTTAGTCATGGACAGCCTTTTTATGGTCTTTTTAAAACATGTATTGTCTTCAATGTCATTGTACGTATAGTACTAAATGATGATCATATGTAAACTGCAATCCAAAGATTTAATAAACTGTTAAATGCTATTGTAGTTACAATGATACCAGCAGATCCCCTGTGATTAGATGGCATTGCATTTCCTCTGTTTGTTTTCTGGCAGTACTCTGTGACCTACTCCAGATGTTGTGGATATTAGTGCCACCTCTTTTACAACGTTCACTGAACAACAAAGCTACAATGGTCTCATTTTTTCTCTCTCTTGTTTTAAATGTTAAACTTCACCTTCTCAATCGAGTGACTTTCATATCTTTATTTTATTTTTCATATATTTTGGTTATAGAATAAGAAGCGTGGCATTTTCTTCCCTTTAATTAATTTCTGGGTGGGGTGGCAGCAAGCCCTGGCGATCCAAGATGGCGTCGCATTCAAATGAATGGTTTGTGCTCAGTGGCGCATGTGCCGGCATGGGCGCAGAGAGATTAGCGGAACTTGCCCATATATAGGCATCGTCTGGTCCTCCTGGTTCTGCGCAGTGCACAGACGGGCTCGGCCGCACTCTGACCAATCAGAGCTGCTGATCAGAGCAGAGCGGGTTAGAGCGGGTGTCACACAAGCAGAGTTTGTGGCACTAAAGTGTGGAGTTGAAGAAAACTGAAGGATTTAAGAAGAAAACAAGTTCAGGATGACAGGGGATACTAAAATCCCCACAAAATCCAACCTTTGTGAAAGCTGTTCTCTATCAGCTGAGGTGGAGCTGTTTTGGTTTACATTGAGTTCTTTGAGGAACATTTCTGGGTAGCCCACGTGAATTTAGTCTGGTTTACTCTGCAGTACCGCAAGAATCCTGCGAGCACATGGGTCCTTCAGCTGCAAGCTATAATTCCCTATCCAGTTATTATACTAGATCCATGGGTGGCAGTCAGAGCTGCACCCAATTCACAGAGCACCAGCCCCAAACTGATTCTCCTGCAGGTGGACGGCCGCTCTGTCTGTGAGAGCATCAGTGTTGTGCCAGTTCACGTTCAAAGTTCACATTTTTAATTCTGAACTAGTTCAAAGTTCAGTTCATTTTACTTTTTTCGTGAGATACTTAAATAAATATTTTTTTCACACTACGATATATATATGTATATATATATATATATCTCCTGTACACCCACAGGAGGAGAGCCTTTTGACCACAAAACAGACCAGATTTACATGGTTTTCAATGGGAGCCAAACGGAGTTGCTCCATCTCTGCTGCTCCACAGTAATGCGCTGCAGTGCGTGTGTCTATATTTTATGTCAAATATAAACGGTGTAAACTTTGTCGCTAACTCACCCTGTGTTTTCATCACGACTCGGGCACATGTGAAAAGCACCAGCTCACAGCGCCGCACCACAACACGGAGTCTGGGTGCGTTCACAGACGGTGGAAACCGTAGGAATTTTTAGATTTCGGCGGAAAAAGTGTGAGAATACAGGAGGGAGGAACTTTCTCTCCTTTCAAAAGAGAAAACAGATTCCAACGTTCATAGTGATGTCTGCCGTTCATGACACATAAAATGAACTAATTCACGTTCAAGTTCTTTTTTAAAAAATGTGTCGCAGTTCAGTTCAACGTTCACGAAAAAATGAGCGTGTTCAATGAACGCGTTCTTTTGAACTCGTTCACGCACAACACTGGAGAGCATAGGCTTGATCTTTCAGCGGGGGCTTCAGGTAAAGTGGGGACTGCAGACATCAGTTGGAGTCGGTGGAGAAGGTTCAAAGAGGGATCGAACCCATGACCTTCAGGCTCAAAAGCCAATGCTCTTCCAACTGAGCCGCGGCCCCGGAATTGTAGCCAAAATATCACTATACTATCGAATCGTTACATTTTTGCCAGTTCCCAGCCCTGCAACATAGTGGGTTGTATATGGCGTCAAAATAGGGTCTGCTTAAACGTAACCGTAAAGCAGGAATTGTAAACGTAGGTTGTAAGTATTGTAAACATAAAAAAATATTGTAAACGAAAAAACTGTAGCGTAACCGTAAAGCAGGAATTGTAATCGTAGGTTGTAGTATTGTAAACATTAAAAATATATTGTAAATGAAAAAAATTAAAACTTACATTTACGGTTCTGATTTTTCATGTTTCGCTTCAAAAGTTACGTTTACGATTCACAAGTTACGTTTACGATTCACAAGCTACGCTTACGAGTCAAAACTTACGGTTACGATACATTTTTCATCTGACCCCTTTTTGGAGGGGCGGGCTCAGCGCGCCCATTGGCTGGAGACACCGGATGTCACAAAAGCAAAACATACGCACGTTGCTACAATCTTTACAGTCTGGTTACTACAGAAGACGAAGAACAGGCTTCAGGCCATCTACGGAGACCTGCGTACATAAATGCTAAGAGCAAACTTCATAGCTGGTAAGTGTCTGTGTCCTACAGAAGCTAATAATGAAAAAGTCCAACTCCAACCCATAAGTGATCACTTGGTTACATCATGTCGCTATAAGAAGAGAACCCGCTGCTACCTGATTTAATCATGATCAGTTAAGTTAAAGCCAGCTCACTTATAGCGCCGCTATAACAAACAGCTGACGTTGCTAAAATGCTAACATTAGCTGTTTTGCTAAATAAGTAGCTAGGGAGGCTCCTTCGTTTTAGTCTGAGGAGAAACAGTCTTCAAATAACTAACTAAACAGTTGTTCATAAGTGAGCCTGTGTAGCCTTCTAGTCACAACAATACTGATACTGTGAGTGGATGAAGAGCACACCAATATTTTAGAGCTAAAATCACAAACTTGTCTTTTTACCATTAATACAAAGACAACTGGAGAACAAAAGTTTTCAACCTGTATACCACTCAAAATGTAGTAACTACTTATTAATGTGGCTTTTTCCCTTTATCAGGAGAACTGCGCCTTGCATCTGAGGAGGGGACTGCTGAGCTGAATGCATGGATAGACGTGAAGTGGATTTGTGCTTTATTTTGTGCAGAGCTACTAGTAAATGTCATTCAGTGGTCCTCCTTGTGTCCTGCTCCTTCTTCAGACAGCGCAGAACATAAAACATAACGCAGATTACACTAATAAAGGGGTTAATGGGTGTGCACCAGGTTAAGACTGTAATTGAACATTAAAAGCAAGTTACATGTCCATACCCTGCCATACAGGAACAGTTCAGAGTAAGGATGTACCGAGTCTTTGTAGACGTACTGACTTAATGCCCACTCTCTGACTGTAGAGCACATCAGCCTCAAAACAAAGAACTCAGTCCCAGAGTGGAAGTATTTCACATGTCCACATAATTGTATGTATTTATAGATCTATATGCTATGTTTTTTTTGTTTTTAATAATTCGTTTTTGCCTTACAACCAAGTAAAAAAAGTGTATTTTAAAAACAGTTAAAAGCATCATGGAGAGAGGAGAGTGTGGTTATGATGTTAGTGAGTGGGCTTGTCAGAACAGATGAGTTTTGAGGGTGGATTTGGAGAAGCTCTCTTCCACATGGTGAAAAGGCGGGCAGGAGGGACCAAGAGCTGGAGAGGATAGGAGGAGCGGAGGGAGCGGGCAGGTGTGGAGATCTGGAGGAGGTCAGTCATGTATAAACACTGTATGTCTGGATGAGGAAGTTATAGATATTAGGCCAGGTAACAGACAGCCATTTACTCCTATCTACAACCCACTGTTCTGTGAGAATAAGTGCTATTATATGTTTATTTGATAGGCACAGAACTAAAAGTATTGATACAGGTGGCCGATACCATGTTCATAGGCTGTATAGCTAGCACTTAATTTGCAGACCTGGTCCCTAAGACATGAAAACACATCACATTTATATAGATTATTATAAAACCACAGTTTTACATCTTGCTGGTCTGCAATGTGTGGTGCTGGTGCCCATCGCAGAGATAACCTGCAAGATCAGAACTAAACAGAGTTTCTGTGTGATTTTAGGAATCTTAACCATCCTAAATTAGCAAACACAGTACAGGTACAGTAGCCAAATATCGTAAAATTAATGGCCTTAACAGGTTAGCCCCGATTTGAGCTACTTAACTTTAAGTTAATTTTGATAAGATATCATGAAGCCAATGGAACGTACTATTTAGCAAGTTTCACTGATTTGTTTAATCATTCAGCTAGTTACCTCATTTGTTTCAAAACTTTATGTACAGGTTATGGACTGACAAAATTCATTGCTAGTGTAAACGACTTTTTAGTATTATGCTTGTGCGCATGTGTGTTACCTTGTGACCTATGTTTCGCGGGTTTTGGTCCTCTATAAATAAATGGGGACCTCACTTTTTGGGAGTCTCCAACTACAATTTGCCTCTTTCTGTGTCTCTCATCCTTCTCCCGTTTGGTACGCTACATTGGTGGCAGCGGTGCCGCCGTCGCCACCTGAGTCGATGTAGGTGGTGGCGGCGGTGACGAACATTTGTGCCTTGCTTTTTGTACTTTTTTGGTGGGTGAGTCTGACCTGACGGTGCCAGTCGCCATTATGGTGTCGCCATATTTTTGTGTTGATGTGGGACTGGAGTGATGGTGTGGCCTGGGCTCTTCTCGGCTGGGGTGACTGTAAAGGACTGGTGTGACGGAGTGCTGCCGCCGGGGGAGACGTTCCAGTACCGGACTGAGCATGTGGCTCGGGGCCGCTGATGTCCAGGATCAGACCGTGACATGTGCGCATTGGTGCCCAAATCCAGCGCCTTCCCTCGGGAGCCACAGGAATGTGGTTATGCCTGTTGGGGTGCCTGCTGACGTGTGTGTTCAAGAGTCCGTAATTCTGATGTTCCCAGCGCGTCCTACGGTCCCGTGTTCTGGACGTTCTGTTGATTTCCTTTGCTCCGGTCAGGGGAATTCGTGCTCCGGTTCTGCGCCAGTCGTCTACCTGCTGCGGGGAGTCCAGGTTGTTGCAGGATCGCCAGTGTTTGGTTCTTGGAGGACGCTGGGACTTTGATGCTGTTTTGTACATTTTTTTTTGTGTGTGTGGTGCATTTATTTATTTTTTTTCAGTTGGACATGAGGACATGTCTTGTTAAAGGGGGGAAGTATGTAAACGACTTTTTAGTATTATGCTTGTGCGCATGTGTGTTACCTTGTGACCTATGTTTCGCGGGTTTTGGTCCTCTATAAATAAATGGGGACCTCACTTTTTGGGAGTCTCCAACTACAATTTGCCTCTTTCTGTGTCTCTCATCCTTCTCCCGTTTGGTACGCTACACTAGCTAGCATGGGCTCATTAGGTAAGCCGCTATAATTATGTAAATAATAAGCAAACAAAAAATCAAAGACATAGTTTTATTCACCTTTGATAGCAGTAGATAATCATGACATGACAAAGCATTCAGTGTGAACAACGTACAGTGGTGGTGAAGGTCCCGAGGTGTAGCTTAGCTGGCTAGCCTGGGGGCAACATAGGCATATGACGTTATTACGAGAGCATGTTTCACACGATCTAAACATGACCTGGTGTAATTAGGGTGTCCACAAGAGTGCACATACCACGTGAAAGCCTATAATAGCCAGCCCAGTTGAAAAAATGTGATCAATCATACGATGTAGAGAGTTCGAACGAGACTTGAATTTTGAATGGTGTGTGTTTTGGTTTTGTGATGACGTAACATCCGGTGTCTCCAGCCAATGGGCGCGCTGAGCCCGCCCCTCCAAAAAGGGGTCAGATGAAAAATGTATCGTAACCGTAAGTTTTGACTCGTAAGCGTAGCTTGTGAATCGTAAACGTAACTTGTGAATCGTAAACGTAACTTGTGAATCGTAAACGTAACTTTTGAAGCGAAACATGAAAAATCAGAACCGTAAATGTAAGTTTTAATTTTTTTCATTTACAATATATTTTTAATGTTTACAATACTACAACCTACGATTACAATTCCTGCTTTACGGTTACGCTACAGTTTTTTCGTTTACAATATTTTTTTTATGTTTACAATACTTACAACCTACGTTTACAATTCCTGCTTTACGGTTACGTTTAAGCAGACCCTATTTTGACGCCATAGTTGTAGGGCTGCACGATATGGGAAATTAGAGCGATATTCGATAAGAGTGTTTAGTATTGCAATACTAATTATATTTTTTAAAATCTTTTTGATATGGATATTGCACGCACCAATATCGCAAAAACAATATGTTTTCGATATCGTGCAGTATTAGTGTGGACAACCCACTAAAATCCTCCCTCCACTTTGATGGAAAGATGAACATGACATAAATGCACACACTGTATGCATGGAAATCACACATGTCAATGCACATTCAGCATTTGTCTATGACTCAGTATATTGTAAATAAACAGCAGTATGTTACATGAGTAATCACATCTTTGGGGACACGCTGCTCCAGCACACGCCTGAAGTGTACATGCATGAGCAGCATTAGCCACACTGCTCGGGTATTTCCCATAATCATGAATAACTCTGATAGAAGTCAACGGGAAATTCTTTTGTTCGTGAGTGAAGTCCTCATGGCTCGCTGCCTTCTGTAGGAGTTACTCAGTTCATGCCTGGTTTCCTCACGCACAGCCAACTGTCACTATTCATCTCCACAGCCATTATGCAGGAGCTTGTACACGGATCCTCCTCTAACATTTCATTAAAACACAATCATTAGAAGCAGATTTGTTTTGGGGATATTGGAACAAATCCAAAGCATTGTGACATATTGAAAGCTGTAGCACAGACCATACTGTAAACTGATGGTGAGTGGATGCACTCACATAAATGAGTCCTGTCAGATTACCTCAGAAAAATGATAATGATGATTAGCTGCAAAGTAAGTTTATATTTACAGAAAATGTTCATGTCCGGGATCTCTCAAAGCTCCAAGTTAAGAGTTTTCTTTGGCATCTTTATGATTTTGGTCCCAAAACCACCATGGAGCCTGTACACCTGTGTATCCATCTGTATCAGCTGCTGCAAACATTATGAAGGTCTCAGGTTAAGCCCAAATTAAACAGAGTCCAAAGGCAGCTATCCTCTGTGAGAGACCAAAGGGAATGTAGCCGCAATGGCATTTTAGGACAAAGGAGCGTTGGCAAAGAGAAGCAAGACTGAAAATTGATCAAACACGGCAGGTGAAAAGGAATGTGAAGTCACGTTGCTATAGCAACTAGCCATGAGGCAGTGGATTCAGGACGGAGTTGAATGCAGTCTTTTCTTCTTCTCACAAATATGCAGAGCGCCATTGACCATGTGAGCAGTTTCCATATGCTCAACTATACCGTCCATCTGACCGTGGCGTTCGGCATCTCTAACATCTCTAACAAGCCAAGTGCAGTTCATTCTGCCACACTGATCTGTGCTGTAGCCAAACCCACAGTGTGGCTTCATCTGAGGATGGATTACATGCTAACCCTCTCATTGTTATGCATGGGACAAGACCACTGCCTCTTGTGTCATTTCTACAGGGAAACAGTCTGCACTCTGCCATGTTGGATAATGGAAAAATAAGACTAAAGACGATGGGGATGTTGGACAAATGTGCAAACCAGATCATATCAGCAGCGATAAAAACGCCAATAAAATGGTCATAATACAGATTCTTGCAGGAGACAAGACATATTATCCCACTGATTGTATTTGTTTTGAAAGGATAGGGAGGAGTGCATTGTTTGTTTGATGCCATTTGTGGCTATATTCATGTCTGTAAAAGCATTATGGTTATGGGATTATCTGACCATCACCTTAGCAAATTTAGATAATGTATACCCCACTGTTTTAAAATCCCAAATATGAAACTACTGGCCTCATTCCGTCAGATGTGCTTTGGCCTCTCATGTACCATTAAGGCTGTCAAGCCTTCAGGCCCAAAACATACAACACATTATGGTGTCCTCTCTCCCAAAACACACGATGACAGCTGCCATAGAGGAAACATAGGGCCACAGGCCACAGGGTTCTTTAGCCAAGCTCTGTCAGTGTGTGGACACAACACACACACACACTCAGTATACAAGCTGTAACAATACGGTAGCAGTACTGAACCCTCAACCTTCTTCACCACAAATGGATTGAATTTAATAATGAATCAAAGATATTAAAAAAAGCATTTAGCAGAGATAAGAATCTGGATCATTCCTGTGGGGACTAATCATTTTTGACAAATCAATAAATTATTGCAAAATTTCGGTCTATTCCAGGCTCCAGGGCGACCTGTCAAATGTCAGAAAAGTGTCAAGCTGTGGCTAGTTTTCATGTTTCTCCCCATTTCTGGGTTGCTTTCCTCACGGTTTTCCCCAATCTTTACAGCAAAGGGCCAAAATATTCCCAGAGAATTGTACAAAGCTGAGCTGGGATCCCAACAGTGCAGGAGAGTTACCTCTAAGCAACAACTTATTTTTTAAGTAACAATGAAGTAATGCAACAATTCCCCAAGCTCTGCACTGTATTCAGAAGAGACACTAAACTAAATCTTATTCTTACCAATTGAGAAAACAAATCGCCCTTTAATAACTTTGTTAAATGAGCGCAAACTCTGAACTGTATAACCTTTAACAAAAAGAGTAAATGGGTAAAGGTTTAGACATTGATTTAGAATGAATGAATTGTATTCACTCCAAACACAATGGTGATAAAGTACTACTGTAGCCAAAGCTGCCCTTGGGCACACTAAAAGAGGCGAGGCAACCAGTCTGAGGCATCGGCCCCTCCCACCACCACCAACCATTCACACACACACACACACACACTAGACTCAATGTGGGTGATATACGTTTTCTAAATAAAGATAATTTAATTAAATATCTTATATGTATCAAATACAAATTTAATACAATTCTGAATGGATTAGTGTTAAAAAATGTATATAAGAAAATAATGCCCACATGATGACGCCTTCATGGCAGCCATCTTGTTTTGAATCATTGCTAAAAAAAAAAATCCTTCCCTGTGTCTTTGGAGAGAGTGACATTTCTTCCTGGATCTGCAGCAGTCTCTTCATATAAAAGCTTTTCTATGCTCTGCCCATAAATAAACTATAACATCCAAAGACTTATGAATATGTATGAGGGGCACATATGCAGTTATTGAGGAACTTGATCGTCATAAGTAGCATCACAAATACAATATCGCTGCGGCTGTAAAGTGCCAAACTGTGGTTGTGTCCTTAGGCAAGACACTTCACCCACATCAGAATTAATCTGGCGTGTGTGGGAATGGTTGGTGGTGGGGAGAGTGGCCGATGGCATAGAGTGGTTTCCTTGGTTCTGTCAGTGTGTCCCAGGGCAGCTGTGGCTACAATTGTAGTTTATTACCTGTGTGTATAGGGTGAAAGAATGAAAGAAAGACATGTGAAGCGTCTTTGAGTGTCCAAAAAAGCGTTATATTTAAAACCGATATTACATTATTATCATTATTACTATAATCACTGAGGGAAAAGTAAAGGTGTATATCATAATCTATACCTAACGCCAATTTCTTTTTATTCAGTGAGCAGTGGAAAGATTGAAGTGGAGGTTGACACTGTGGTAAAGGGGGTGCTCTCCATTCCCAAAGCACTGTCCCAATGACCAGTGTGGGACAGAGTCAGCAGCGGGATAGGAGGGGATTAGAATGTGTTGGGTTTAATAATCGAGACATGCTGGACGAAGACGGCCGGGCAGGAAAGGGAGAAGACCATAGATAGCAAATGAGGAAGGATCAGCAGTTGTAAGTAGAGGTCCAGGGATTATGAGACGGGGGTCAGACCAAGCCCTGGCTCTCACACTGAGCACAAATCTCCCTCTTACCGACAGAGCTGGCAGAGCGCAAATGGACTCAGGTCCCAGGGCAAAAACTTGACAGTTCTTTTAAAAACGATTACAGTTCTATAGAATGTAGATCTCCAGCTGATGAATGATGAATTGTGGGACTTCTATTTCAGGAACCCAAGCTTTTACGTCCCTTGGCAAAAGGCTCGAAACACGTTATTGAATAATGAAGACTACAAGAGCAGAAAAAGCACATTTAATAGCATCCA